AGATGTGGCATTTAAGCAATGGCAAAGTACCAATCGTACAACACTACTTCTACAGTCATTGCCACAGATGAATTTAATGATTTATTATGTGACAGAATTGACAATCTTACCACTCATTTATATATTGCAAAAACACAAAGAAGATACTTGAAAAACTGTAAAGAAAATCTTAACCAAAACAAATGCTTAATTTTAGGAGATTTGCCAATGTTGTGAAGCCCCATGGCCCTCCCTTGGCCCATGATTATAAACATTATAGAGTAGTCAATAAATAACACTATTTGATGTTTTATTCAAATAAATGTTTCAAAAAACATTTCAATTGCTCTAAAAAAATTGTTTCTAAAAAGACACAATTTTTAAACGCAAATTTTGATCAAGTATCAGAGAGACAAATGATGAATTTAATTTTTATCAATAGACCTAAGATAAAATAATGATATACAATTAAACTTTTTAATCAAGATTTTCAGTCTTCAATTTTTAGTCAATAATTTGGAACAAAATTGGATAAACGAGGTATTTCCTGAGACAATTGAGTCTTGATGGTGCTATTTTTGGATTCCACAAGTAAAAATTTATTGGAGTACCAAATTTTAGAAAATTTTGCCAGCCATTATGAAGATACTATATATCAAAGTTGCTTTGTAGTCACCTCAGATAATCACTAAAATGCATAAATAAGTCAGCATTATTTAAACTGAAAGTATCTTTGGAGCCCATGTGTATTTTTAACTAGAACTGTTGCAGTTATTTTTTTTTTCCCATGGACTGCAAGTTAGGTAAAAATGAACTATTTACATTTTTATATAAGTCTAATATATTGTTTTTAAATCAATAGCTTAAAAATAGTACAGTCAAAAGAATTATACACTCCGCATTTAAAAATAAATTATGATTTTATTGGATAATTTAGTTTAAAAAATGATATTAAAGTTTTTAACTTTAACATAACTTAAAAAAACAATTTTAAACAAAATTTATTTTTTTTCCTGATTCACTCCTAACAAGGCCACAAACCACTCTCAGGTTGGGAGAGTATAGAACAAGCAAATAGTTGACAGAAGACTAGTGAAAAAAGAAAGTTGAATGTTGTATGAGTCAAGAAAACATAAAGATAGAAGGGAGCTCCTAAGGCTTAAAGTGCAGGGTAAAAAACTAGACAAACAAACATTTTTAGAGCATGCAGGGACATACACAGTAAAAGAATGAAACTTGGCTGAATGACAAGTCAAGTAAAAATGAGTTTTAGTTTTATATATGGTTTCCAGGAAAGATCAGTAATAAACAATCATCCAAAAACATGAAAAGAAGAGGACTCGGTGAGAAGGTTGCCATTCATTAAAATGTTGACAAAACTGTGATACCTGTTTACAGTAAACCTGAGTTATGTTTGAGTTAAAATTTACAAGCCACTGCAGACCCCAATCTGTTACAGAAGTGAAATCAGATTCAAGATTGGGCTGCCTGTTCTAAGCAATCAAAAAGAGAAGCTTTTTTACGACAATAGTACAATGTTAAGTCTTTAGCAAAAAGTGCTACTTTAGATGCAAGGTTGTCAGGAAGATCATTAATGTAGATAAAAACAAAACAGGACTAAGGATAGAACTTTGAGGTACTCCATAAGTTACTTGGAATGAAGAAGAGTGTTGGAGTTTCAAAGCTGACTTTTACAAAGCAGTTATAAAAGAAATAATTTGATCAACTTTTTCAGATACACCATATGAAGACCAGCATGCTTTGTTGAAAGTTTTAGATATGTCAAGAACAATAGTCCAAGCCTCTCTGCCTTTATCTAATGCACAATAAAATCTTTCAGTCACAGCAGTTAACAAGTCTGCGTAGAGTTAGGGATCAAAAACCGTATTGATTGTCTGACAGTAAGTTATTTGACTCAAGATGGGATGAGAAAGATTCGTTGATCAAAGACTCAAAAACATTGCTAATAACTGGAACAACAGATGCCACTTTCCAGCAGGCTGGAATAAAAGACACAGTCAAGCACTTATTAAATAGTTTAGAGAGAATTAAAGAGATTTTTGGAGAACAATTTTGTAAGACTATGACAGGAATGTTGTCTGGACCACAAGTCCTAGCGAAGTTTAATTGAGATATGACTTTAGTAATGGAAGCTTTAGTGATTTGAATGCCTAACAATGGGTTAACCTGTATAATATGAATGGAAGAAAGAGAATGCTCAAAGGATTTAAGAGTCAAATTTGAGATAAAGTCCTTTGCAAATAGTTCTGCCTTATTCTTGGGAGAGTTAGATACAGCAGCTGCAAAGAAGGTAAAAACCATGGAGTAGAATGAGGCTTGACTTATGGATGTTAGATAGGAGGTGCATTTATCAACAAAGAAAGAAAAGACATCAGCCCAAGGATCATCACAAAAAAAAACACAATGAGAATCCAGGCCAGCTTTAGGGTAGTAGAAGGTAGTGTAATGATAATGTGAGCCCAAAGAACAAGTATGAGATGAAAAAGGAGGAATTGAACACAAGCTAGAATCAGAGACAAGACATAAATCAAGCAGTAAAAGTAAATGATTAGAGTTGTCAGGAAAACTAATCACAGAGTTAACTATCTGATTAAGATATTAAGAAATGCAGAAGTTCTAGGCTTGAGTGCCAGCATGGTCAGTTTCGTTAGAGCCAAGCTATTCAGTACGATGAGCATTAGTCACTAATAACAACAAAATTGGCAAAGGGGTAAAAAAAAGGGTCATGGTTAATTTGATCAGAACTTACATCTAAAAGAGTACAGTCATGGGAAGAAGGAGAATGATAAGGAACAAAGTAAAAAGTGATAGAATGAAGAGCTGCTAAGCAGAAGCACATTAAAGAATGGTCAAAAGATTCGATCTTGATTTCGAAACAAATAGGTGAAGTTATACCGCCAACCCAAGCATGTGACTATTGGAGTTGTTGCAAATCAAAGGGTAGTACCCACCAACACTGAGATCTAAAAAAGGATTTTTTAAATTTTAAATTAGTCTTATTAAAAACAAGCAAGTCTGGTAAATTTTGCTAGAGATAAGATTCAACTAATGGTAAACTGCTTTGCAAACCATAAATACTTGTAAAAGATATATTAAAACAGTTATGTGGTGGGGATGGTTTTTTATTATTAATTTAGGTTATTTTTAACAGGATTTAAATATAAAGAAAACTTGACTCATTCATAGATGGAGCATGGCCTCCTAAGCAATGAGCTATGAAATTGTCGCAGTCCTGTTAATTAACCATAAGTCGTAAAATAGGGTTCCTTATGTGGCCTCAACAATTCACACCAAAAGCATTACCAGGGACACCATCCATGTGCAATATGGCATTGTTAATACTCTGATATTTTGCAACTGTTAATGGAATCAGCCTCTCCGAGAGCTACCACAGAGTTCAGGAAACCTTATTATTAGCCTGCCTCAGAACCATTAAACTGAGTTTTTGAGCTGTACCCCCACTAGGAAATAACAAGAGTTGCATAGCCACTATCAAGGAGGCACAAGCAAAAATCTAAGAAGAGAGACTCTACACAGGTTTACATCTACGCCAGCCTAATAGATAAAGAAGGGGTTAGAGGCTGGTTAGCAGAATTGTTCTGTTTACTTCTGACCTCTTTGCCTAGGAGGACACCTACAAGACAGTAGCTGAATGCAGTTAATATCTGCCTAAGATGAGTATTTTTTTCACGACACACATCTAGCCTTTACTCAACCAAGAGCCCCAAGGCAGGATATTTTTAAGTTGGAGTTTGTTTCTCCTAGCCTTTGCCTAAAAAAGCACACCCTACAAGGCAGCAGAGTATGGGAAAGGTAGGACTGGTTACATGATACCAGTAGCAGGGTGATTGTGATGATCCTGAGCCTGATGTGAACTGGACTAATTAAAAGGAGCTAACTTCCTGCAAACAGTATATTAGGCATGTTATTTTGGAAAAGCATTAGGAAACACATTATATCTAAAAAAAAATACTAGAGATTAAGGTGAACTATTACTTATTTATAGTTGAATTATTACTTATTAAACTAGTTTATTATGTAATAGTTTAACAGTAATAGTTAGAGTAACTAGTTAGTTAATGATCTCACACTGTGTCAAAACAGATTTAAACATTTAAACAGAATATTTAAACACTTAAATAGAACACAAATATACATAATGTAACTAATGGGTGAATAAACACCACACCAGAGTTCAAGACAGAACACAAACATACATATGTAAAGTAACTTATAGGTGAAATAACATCTTGTCACTTAAAAATAAATTTTAATAAAAATCTCGATAGTACAAACAGTAATGTATGTATTAGCACTATTTGCATGTTTACCTATTTGTCAGTCAATGTAGTAACACTCATGTTCAGAAAAAATTTAATTATTTATATGATTAACTAAATTTTAAAAAATATTCAAATAATTTTTATAGAAAACTTATGAAAACAATAAAAACAGTTTATACTATTACTTATGAGTTAAAGATTAATTATATATTTATTGAGAAGAGCTACAAAACCATAAACGTATCCCTTTTCAATAAAGCAGATAATTAAGAATAATGATGTTAGAGTTTACTACGAAAAACTTGAATTTTTAAAAAAAATTTTGAATTTGTTGTAAAGCAATAAAATTTATTAATCTTATATTTATGAAGCATATAAAAAGATAATATGAAAAACTGGTTTTAACACCTCTATAAATATTTTCTACACATACTGTAGTTGTATACATTAAAAATAATATTAATACAATCTTTCTATAATACCAATGTCTGTCTCACTAGACAGACAATGGCTAAACTTCAAAACTGATAACTTAAGTCAGCCAAGCAACTTTAAATTAAACAAACTTCACATTTACTGTTTGTTAAATAATGATTAGGTTTTGGATCACTAAAAATAAATCATAATTTAAAGTAATTTAAAAAATTATGCAATATTAGAGTACAAGATTTTAGAAGCTATAAAAATGGATCTTTCAATTTGAAACATGTTACCTACCTTTGGTTGGTATATAAATACTAGATATTTGCCGATCTAATATGTTTGCAGCTAAGCACGATTTACCAACACCAGGATCACCAACAATAATTATCTTAAAAAACTTACTCATATTTTTTCAGAATTAAAGTGTGGTAATTTTTAATTAGAAATTGCCTAAACTAAATCTAAGTAAACAGAACAATAATATAACATTAAATAAAATTAACATAATGTTATATAACATATATAAAAATTATAATATATATAATATAATTAATATATATATATATATATATATATATATATATATATATATATATATATATATATATATATATATATATATATATTATAATTTGTTTAACGTATATAATAACATAATATATAATAAACAATTATGTTTAATATATATATATATATATATATATATATATATATATATATATATATATATATATACATATATATATATATATATATATATATATACATATATATATATATATATATATATATATATACATATATATATATATATATATATATATATATATATATATATATATATATATATATATATATATATATATATATATATATGGGCATGGGGCATATATATATATGGGCATGGGGCATGGGGTAGCAGCCTTCCCCCCCCCTCCTCCTCCTTCCTTAGGACTTTTTTAAAAAATTCATTTGTAATTTAACTATTATACAGAATTGGACTACTATACTGACAAATGAAATGGACTATTATACGTAATTATACGTATATGAACTTGACTCTTACACTAACGTACAAAAAATTTAAAAAAAATTAAAAATGAATAAATGCAGACTTTTTTTTTGTTGAGAATTAATTAAATAATAACCCCTTTTTTTAAATGTCATTTGTTTTTATTAATTTTTACAATTGTTTTTTAAATTAAATTTTACAATTTTTTTAAATGTCATTTGTTTTTATTAATTTACAATTAAATGTCATTTGTTTTTTTAACACAAATTGCTGGTTATGCAATTAAAATTAATTAATTTTAATTGCAAAACCAGCAATTTGTGTTAATTAATTTTAATTGCAAAATGTTCGCATTCAGTTTTATTGCTGTCTTACAATTATTGATTCTCAATGAATTAAGTCTTATTAGTTATTCTATATTAAAATATACTATTCTATATAAATGCAAGCCAATAATTATTCCTCCATTATTTAACTTGTTCCTATTGTCATCTTGTAACCATTGTTTACTTGTATCTAACTAATCACTTGAACCAGTTATTAATTTCACAGTTATCAACCAATCATTTGTTGGAACAGAGCAAGAACTACGGGAAAGAACGGGGGAAAATAAATCATACCAACTATACTTTTTTGTTGAACTTTTCTTTTTCAATAACTCTTTGTTAGATAACAAAAACTTATTGAACTTATAAGTTTGAAAATTTGCTTAATGATTTATTAACATTAAAAAGGGACTTTTTTGTTTACATTAAATCTTCAACTTGATCCCAAATAGGGATACTGTCAAGTTTCATCTAACTTAAAGCTTTTAACTTTTGTTATTGAGACTAATAACAGGTCAAAGGTTACATAATTTACATAATCTTGGCTTAATTATGATTGTAAGATGAATTAGATAAATAAAATTAACAATTGGTAATTTGTTTATCTTTGGGAGAAACATAAATAAATGATTCAGCTGGGCAAATTTTGAATTTGGCTTCACACTCATTCCTCTCTTTCTTAAACTAGAAAACATTTTTTTAGACAAAATTATTGAGTGCAACAATTCTTTTACTTTAAAATTTTAAATTAAAGGGACTATCTCTTTTGCAGCAGCAACCAAAATACTTTATTACCTTAACGTAATTTATCGGTCACGACTTTCGTTTTCGCAAGTTTAGATGCGCGCGCATTTTTCAATATTGTGTAATCAAGAGAAGAGAACACGTGCTGTGTAAGCATTTTCAATAAATTATTAGTGACTAAGAATATTTTACATTTTCAGTTCCATACATTTAAGTATTAAAATTTAAGTATTAAATATTGAATATATATATATATATATATAAATAATATATAAATATAAATAAATATTGAATATATATATATAATATTTAAGTATTAAATATTGAATATATATATATATATATATATATATATATATATATATATATATATATATATATATATATATACATATATATATATATATATATATATATATATATATATATATATATATATATATATATATATATATATATATATATATATATATATATATATATATATATATATATATATATATATATATATATATATATAGGGTACACATTTATAGCATATTTTTTACTATACTATAGTAAAAAATATGTTATAAATGTGTACAATGTTAATATAATTTAATTTGGTAAAATACATTACAAATTAATTAATTAAAATTGATAAAAATACATTACAAAAAACAAGTCTGTAGTTTTTTGTAATGTATTTTTATAGTTGTTATTATATAACTTATAATATAAGTTATATTGATATATTCTTATATAATATATAAGAATATATCAATATAACAACTATAAACATACATTACAAAAAACTATATATATATTAAAATATGTTACAAATTTGCACAATGTTAATATAATTTAATTTGATTTTATTTAATATATAGCAGTTTCATATAATTTTTTAATAGCTAGCAACAATTGCAAATTTTTGTGTCAAATTTTCAGTTTTATGAAAATTGGTTTGATATATAAAAGAATTAAAACCATACTTTATATATTACTGTTTTTATACTGAGTTTATAAACTATAACGAATAAAATCACTGTTTGTTCACCACAAATGTTGTTCTATAAAAAATTTTTTGAGTAAAACTTTCAATATATAAATGTATAAATGCAGAAAAAAAATTACTCATCAGAGTCAGAAGGACGAACTTTATCCAACAGGGGAGATTAGGATGCTCAATTTGACTCGAATTAATGTTGACCCTTTTTTGTAGCCAGTTGTTTTGTGTTAATAAGATTGAAATATAGTCATTTTAAAGGAACTTCCTTCACATTTTTTAAAGCAACGAGATTATTCCCATAATTATAAGAAAAAGAATCTTTCCTTTGAATATTTTTATCAATCTTTGCACTTCAAAATTTCTCTCAATATCAATTTTAATTATTTATATAATTATTGTAATAATTTAATTATAATTATTATATACAATTATGTTTGCAGGTGAAACAACACACGTGAATGGGAAATGAAATGGAAACTTTCTTCCCAGATTTTTTTTTTTTTTTTTTTAGGTGCCCTAAGAAGTCCTTACGGTCTTATCACAGAGCACCACGGAAAGGCATTTAATAGAAAGCTCATGCCTCCTTTCCAACCGATGTCGCAAAACTTGCCCAGAGGTGGGGTTTGAACCACGGATCTTATGTTTCTGAAGCAAGTGCGCTACCTCTGCGTCACGGCTGCTTAAGTTCCAGTATGATACTTATCGGTTGCCACAACCTTGTCATTGGATCCCACTTGAAAGATGTAAGATGCTATCAATAAGAAGGCTCCAGAATGATTGCTTATTACATCTCTTCGTTGTCTCAAAATGATTTCATCAGAGAATTTAGTGTTGTCATCCGGATAATCGATCCAATATTTTAGGTACTTATAAGGAAGCTGAAACTTTGATACGGCAAAGTTATTCGGAAGCTCACTTTGTTCCCTGTAGCGCTCGCAGTCTAAATTTAGCCATTAAGAACAAAGTAAATTTGAAAAGGTTGAATTTTGTACGTAGTTTTTAGTACAAATCTAGTCCGATGAAAAATCCTCACTGAAGCGACAAGAGTTTCATTGCAAAGACTTTCTATGACAAGATAGAGATCTTGTACTGACGCGATCAACTTTTATGACAAGATGGAGTTTTGTACTGACGTACAACATTTTTCTTGTACTTCTTGCAAAAAGTCCAAGAAAAATGTTGGCAACTCTTAAAAAACCTGGATCTGACCAGTGAGCAACTTAGATAAGTAAGAACTTTAAAAAAATGGTTATCATCTTTTGAATTTGTATTGCTTAATACGATTTCTTACAAAACCCTTACTGCTGTTAATTACATTAATTCGCTTTTACAATCCGAAGCCATTAACATCGATGACGAGCTACGATTGATTGGAGAGCTGCAGGAAGATCTTAAACTGATTAGGTGCTCTTGGTTGCAAATTTTCAAAAAATCTGTAGTTGTAGCTGGATCACTAGGATTTGAAACCAAACGTAATACTAAAAGAAAGAGTAAGTTAAAGAGCTTTCACGATGAGGCATCAAACACTGCCTATTTCCATGACAACCAAACAAAAGAGTTCAAAGTGAACGTTTTTAATGTTTGTGAAAATTTCAACTTTCACAAAAAATATTAGAATTCCGACCAAAAAAGAACTTATAATTATAGAAAATTGCCAATAAACGATCAGAACAGATCATATTGTTAAACTATAATTTTCATTTCAGCTAAAAAACGTATTAATATAAATTCTTATTCAATTTTGACGAGCTATTGTGATTTTAAGATGATTTAAAAAAAAAAAAAAAATCTTCGGTCTGGGTTTTTTTGTTACAAGCATTAACATTTTATCATACCGCAAAATTTATCATTTTAATATTTTTCGTCTTTTTATAATTCACAGGTTACACCATTTAACGGAAATATGTCCTAGCCAACAAAATATCATACATACGCTATAATATTTTAAAAGTGCCTTAACTACATCGAGTGAGAAAACTTTTTTGTTTTGTTTATTGTGAAAGTTTGCGTTACGTAATTTATGGAAGATCCCTAAAGGAAGGAATCGGTTTATAAATAAGGCTGACATGAGTATATTTGATGCCGATAAAAAAGTTTTAACAATTGAAATTTTAGCTAAAAAACTAAAAATATACTTTTAAGTTGCTGTTATCGCCTACCATCTGGTGAAATAAAAAAGTTTCAAATCCTTTTTAATTACTGATATAAAAAAATGTACAAAAAAAAAAAAGAATTAAGTTATATATTTGGTAACATAAATGTAAACGCATTCAAATAACACGTAAATTCTAAAATTAATGGTTTTTATAACGATTAATTTGAAAACGGTGCAATTCCGTTAATGAATAAACCAACAAGAGTAACTTTAAAGTCAGCTTCCTTAATCGATAATATTATGACA